CTTAATGTTTTTATTTATTTGTGAGAGAGAGAGAGAGAGACAGAGCATGAGCAGGGAAGGGGCAGAGAGAGAGGGAGACACAGAAGCGGAAGCAGGCTCCAGGCTCTGAGCCATCAGCACAGAGCCCGATGCGGGGCTCGAACTCACAGACTGTGAGATCATGACCTGAGCCGAAGTCGGACACTCAACCGACTGAGCCACCCAGGCGCCCCTACAGAAGTTTTTAATAGCAATATAGTCAAAGGTATCAACTTTTCTTTTAAGTTTTTCTTTTTTTCTTTTTTAATGTTTATTTATTTTGAGAGAAAGAGAAAGAGCGCGAGCAGGGGAGAGAGAGAAAGAGAGAGAGAGAGAATGAATCTCAAGCAGGCTCTGTGCTGCCAGCGCTGAGCCCAGTGCAGGGCTCAAACTCACAAATTGTGAGATCATGACTTGAGCAGAAATGAAGAATTGGGAGGCTTAACCGACTGAGCCACCCAGGCACCCCATAAGCTTTTTTTCCCCCTATTTGGATCTTCTTCAGCAAGATTTTTCTTACACATAAGGCCATAAACATTTTTCTATAGTTTTTTGTCTAATAATTTGATACCATTTTTTTTATATCTAGGTCTTTAATTAGTCAGAAATGTATATTTTGGGGGCACCTGGCTGGCTTAGTCTGTAGATGTCTCCAACCCCAGTTTTTGGACATCAGCTTCATTGATCTCATGCTGTACAATGCACCCATTTAAAATGTACAAGTCAGGGCACGTAGGTGGCTCAGTCAGTTGAGCACTAGACTCTTGATTTCAGCTCAGGTCATGATCCCAAGGTCATGGGATCGAGCCCCTGCATCAGGTTCTGCACTGAGCATGGAGCCTGCTTAAGATTCTCTCTCTCGGGGCGCCTGGGTGGCTCAGTCGGTTAAGCGTCCGACTTCAGCCAGGTCATGATCTCGCGGTCCGTGAGTTCGAGCCCTGCGTCAGGCTCTGGGCTGATGGCTCAGAGCCTGGAGCCTGTTTCCGATTCTGTGTCTCCCTCTCTCTCTGCCCCTCCCCCGTTCATGCTCTGTCTCTCTCTGTCCCAAAAATAAATAAACGTTGAAAAAAAAAAAAAGATTCTCTCTCTCTCTCTCTCTCTCTTCCTCTGCCCCTCTCCCCTGTTAGCATATGATCTTTCTCTAAAATAAAAAAATAAATTAAAAAAAAATCTTTAAAAAAAAAAAGATTGCCAAATAAACTAAACTAAAATATAATATACAAGTCAGTGGGGGTGCCTGGCTGGCTCAGTCAGTAGAACATGCAACTTGATCTCAGCGTTGTGAGTTCAAATCCCACAATGGATGTAGAGATAAAGCTAAAAATAAAATCTTTAAAAAATAAAAAATAAAATGTACAAGTCAGTGGTTTTTAGTATGTTCACAGAGTAGTATAATCCTCACCACAATACATTTTGGAACATTTTCATCATTCCCAGAAGAAACCTCATCCCCTTTTTACCCCAACATTTCCCCCAGTCCTAGACAACCATTAATCTACCTTCTGTCTCTAGGTTTGCCTCTTCTGGACAGTTCGTATAAATGAGATCATACAGCATGAGATACTTTTTGTCTGGCTGCTTTCACTTAGCATGATGTTTCAAGGGTCATCCATGTTGTAGAATGTATCAGTATTTCATTCCTCATTTTATTTATCTCTGCATCAGTCGATGAACATTTGGGTTGTTTCCATTTTTTTATTATGAATAAAGCTGCGATGGGCATCATTGCCCCAGGCAATCACTAATCTAGTTCCTGTCACTCGAGGTTAGCATTCCCTTTTCTAGAACCTCATATGAATAAAATCATATAGCATGTATTCTTTTGTCTCTGACCTTTTGTACTGAGCATCATGTTTGTAAGATTCATCCATGTTATTGTACATATCAGTAGCTGATGCCTTTTTCTGACTGATTAGCATTCCATTGTGTGGATGCATCTCCAAATTTTTAAATTCTGATGGGACCCAATTTACCAATTTTTAAAAATTACATGCTTTTCCGATCTCACTCACAATGTGCCTTTAAAATGTATTCATTGGGGAAGCTTTCTCCTTTGGTCCTGATGAATCTCAGGCATTCACATGACTTAGATAGTAAAAGGTCCCATGGTCACAATAAATGACCATCTTAGTTCAGGCACTGGACTGCTGAATTCTATGTAATAATTAAAAGGCCAAACTTTATTAAAGTGAAATCTCCTCTCTTGTAACTTAGACCTTCTGCACGAACACTTACAGCAAGAATGAGGGAGATGGGGCCATGGTTGTGTTCTTTCCCTATCCGGGGTATCACATCTTCTTCCAGGTGGCAGACAGGCAGACTCTCAGTTTTGGAAGATAGTCAAGAAAAATTTTTTCTCTCAGGTTTGGGAAAGAAACACACTTTTGTTAAGTGGTTTCAAGTTCTCTGGGATTGGCAAATATTCAAAGCCGACTATTTCTTTCTTGTCTATGTTTATGCATTCTGCAGAGGCCCCCAGTAGATACCTTCTATAGTATCTGTCACAGTGCGGGTGACACCATTTTCCTTCTATTGGCTGCTCCCATCTCAGCTTTTGTGGTCTTTTGTTTGTTTTTTGGTTTGTTTTTGTTTTTGTTTTGTTTTTTAGTGGCCCACAATATCCTGGGTCTTTCTGTTGGAGTCCCATGGCTCTTCCAAGCAATTCTGCTGGGCAAGATTTATTAGGGTTTAAGCCAGCTCTCCTTCCAAAGAAATCTTCCACCCTAACTCTTGGAGTGCAGGCCACTTGACATAGCCATTTCCCCTTCTCCCCTATGGGTTGAGCAGCTACCCTGCCCATCTCTGCTCTTCCCATGTTCGAAGCATGAGGCAGTCACTGACCTACCACCTGGAGGAGTTACAGATCAAGGTCTCCAGGTGGTCCCATTGAAATGGTTCCCCCTCGAGAATGGGAAAATATCCCCTACCCCTGCTCACTGAGCATAGCTCTCTTCAGAAAAGTCCTCTTTACAAAGTTTCACAGCAACCTTAAACCCCTGAAGGTGAGAGGGTTGAGAATGTGTAAACTAGGTTTTTTTTAAAGTTTATTTATTTATTTTGAGGGGCGGGGGAGGGGGGAGGGCAGAAAGAGAGGGACACAGGGAGAATCCCAAGCAGGCTCTGCACCATCAGGACAGAGCCCGATGGGGGCTCGAACTCCTGAACAGTGAGGTTGTGACCCGCGCTGAAATCAAGTGTCAGACGCTTAACCAACTGAGCTACGTAGGCACCCCTGTGCAACTAGTTTTGACCATTTACTTTGAAACTTCCACAAGATGGTTTGCTGACAACTTTGTTATCTAACATCTACTGCCTTGGGGTTTCCGACTGAAACTTCTAATTTAAAATCCTATTACACTTGCATTTGTGAGCTAAATGCTACTTGGATGTGATGGATTATTCTTTTTACTATCCTAATGGATTACATTTGTCAATGTTTTATTTAAGATTATGGAATATATGTTCATAAATGAAATTGACTATACTTGTGCTTTTTCTGTACCAACCTTGTAAGTATCATGCAGCAGGACAGAAATTTGCATACTATGACTCAGATGTGCCAAAGAATATAATGTTCACGATTTTCTACAATAAATTCTTAGACTCAAGCCTCTATTCCTGCTAATAGCATGGGGAAAAAAACTTTTAATTATGTTTATGTCTCTATAAGTTCAAATTGAATTTAGTCAATTCAAAATTCTACTCCCTGCTGGCTGTTTTACCCACTCATGACAGCAGGGGAGGAACCCCACGCTGTCCTGTGGCCTCCCCTGATCCCACTGTTACAGCCTACTGAGGAAAAGCTAGTCCTACCTTGTCTTTTGCAGTATTGTTCTGATGTCTACTACTGAAATTCATCATCTCTGCATTCTGCACCCCCCATGACAACCTCAGGCAGGAAGAGGATCCAAATTATTAAGAAGGGGAAAATGCATCAGGAGGTGTTTTCTAAACATTTTAACTAGCTTACTTATCTTTAAATCCAAGACATTTATTGTTCGTATGTTTTTGTGGCTAAATCAAGAATCGAATCACAGGACAGTTCCCAGTTATAATGGTGGGAGCGTTTCCTCCAAGTGCTTTACTCAACTTCTCAGAATCCTCTCAGGAGCCCTATGCTAATAACTATTACTTATAATAGCTCTGTCAGGTGCCTTACTTATATTTTTTAATGTCTTTTTTTTAATTTATTTTTGAGAGAGAGAGAGAGGCAAGGGAGTGGCAGAGAGAGAGACAGACAGACAGACAGACAGAATCCAAAGCAGGCTCCAGGCTCTGAGCTGTCAGCACAGAGCCTGATGCGGGGCTCGAACTCACGGACCAGGAGATCATGACCTGAGCCGAAATCAGACGCTTAACCAACTAAGCCACCGAGGCACCCCTTACTTATAATGTTTAAATTCTTGCTATAACCCAGTGGAGTACATAATGCCATTTCCATTTTACAGAAAAATAAACCGAGGTACAGAAAGGTGACTGTATTAATTAGGATACAGGCTAAGTTGCTGTAACAAAGAGATAACAAAAGACAGTGGCTTAAACAAGCTGGAGGTTTATTTCTCTCCCCAAACACAGCAGAGGCAGGCAGAAAGTCCAGGATGCAGGTGGCTCGGCTTCACTCACCCGTACCTTTCTTCTGTCTCATTACTCCACCATTGAATCATCCATTGTGCCGTCCTCATTTGTTTGGTAAAAGCTGGCTCACCACTACACATGCATGTCCCAGCCTGTGGGAAGGAGGAAGAGAGGATGAAGGACAGGCAGTTCCTTTAAGGAAATTGCACACAAACACTTCAGCTCGTGTCCCATTGTCCAGAAAGATCATAGTCACATGGCCACAACTAACTGCAAGGGAGGCTGAAAAATAGAGGCTCTACTCATGCCTAGGTAAAATCTAGTGGTAGATAGATGTGGTAATGATTCTATTACTAGAAGGAGGGACTCACGGGGGCGCCTGAGTGGCTCAGACTGTTGAGCGTCCAACTTTGGCTCAGGTCATGATCTCACAGTCCATGGGTTCAAGCCCCGTGTCAGGCTCTACACTGAGCTCTTGTTCAGAGCCTGGAGCCTGCTTTGGATTCTGTGTCTCCTTCTCTCTCTGCCCCTCCCCCGCTCGCACTCTGCCTCACTCTCTCAAAAATAAATAAATGTAAAAAAATTTTTTTTCTTAAAGAAGGGAATCATGGACACTGGGGATTGGTTAGGCATTGCTGCACAGAATCTAATATGATTCCCTCCTTCCAAATTCTGAGCACTGTGTGCAGATGAAAAACTACAGTTCCCATTTGCCTTGCAGATAGGAGCCACCAATTAGATATCAACAGAAGTCACTGTGTGGGGCTCCTGGAAAACTTCTGTTGTCCTTCCTCCCTTCATCCATTCTGCTGCTTGGAAAGCAGATGAGGTGACTAGAGCTTCAAAAGCCGTATTAGACCATGAGTGACCTAGAAGGTGCTGAGGATGGTGAGGCATGCAGAAAGGAACAAGAAACTTAATAATCAAGGAGCCACCATAACAAACTGGGACAACCTAACTCTGCACTTCTTTATTTTGAGGGAGAAATCAGCCTCTTTCACTTTTCAGCTGCTTTATGACCTACACACAGCCAAATGTAATTCTTAACGAATTCAAATTATTCATTTAAGCAACATATTCACAGTCATGCAGCTAGGAAGATGTTTGTACTCAGATTTACCTGGTTCCAAAGCCCATATTCCTGCCCCTGCAGGATTAAATTGGCCTTTTATAAGACAAAAATGGTATCCTTTTGTTAAGATTCTACAATGCAATGAAGAAATAGTGGTATAGTCTCCATCCTATTTAGGGAAAGATATTTATCCTTTACATCTACAGTCCTTTATGTAATACAGCATTTTGGCTAGCAAAATATTTCTCTGTTAGATGTATGCAACATAAAATTACAGGAAAGCACCATGAGCTATCGAGCCAGGCATGATTTGTTATTCTTATCTTTGACTTTTTTCTATTAATTTTAATTGGCTTCCTATTCATTCCTTTTGTTGTCAACTTGCACGTGCTGACAGGCAAGCAGTAGGAAGCACCAGTGTTAAGGAAGATTAATGGGGAACATTTTTGAAATGTATAACAATCTATTCATCACTGTAACTTTTTCCCATTTGGAAAAAAATCCATAATTATTTAACTTTTAATTCTAATACACTGGGCCCACCTTATGGGACACATAGTTGGAGATTCTCTCATCTACATGATTGACAGATGAGCCTTATATGCCAGGATGGAAAACACATAGATAAGAAACAGGCCAGGAGAGCCACTATGACCCTATGAACCTGGATAAAGGCTTTATTCTTTCTTGTCTGGAGAGCATTTGGTTAAAGTAGGAAATCAACTACATGGACTGTTTAAGCCACATGTTCTGAATTGCTATTGGGGATGCTATCACTAGAATTAGGAAAATTGTGCTACTTTGTTGGGGGGGGGGGTGGTAAAATACCAGAAAGTTGACATATGTTGTTTAGAAGGGTTTATTAGATAATATTGTATTTATCTCCTTTTGAGAAAAGGAGAGATGATTGTCAGAGGCTGTCAAAAATACTTAGATTTAGAATGTCCTATGTAGTATAAAGGAAATAGGTAAGACTGCGATTTACCAGCAAATGTCACTTTTTCATTGTAGGGGTTTGTGGCAGATAGAAGAATGGCCCTCCAAAGATGTTCAAGTTTTAATCCCCAAAACCTGTGAGTATGTCACCTTACATAGCAGAAGGGGTTTTGCAGATGTGGTTAAATGAAAGGTTTTAAAATAAGAACATTCTACTTTTATTTATTTGAGAGAGAGAGTGAGCATGAGCAGCAGGAGGGGCAGAGAGAGAGAGGGAGAGAGAGAATCCCAAGTAGGTTCTGTGCTGTCAGCACAGAGCCCAGTGCGGGGCTCAATCCCATGAACCGTGAGATCATGACCTGAGCTGAAATCAACAGCCGGATGCTTAACCAACTG